AACAGTGATCTGTCGGCAATATCATTCGTTTGTTCTGTAATGTATCCTGACGTATATTTTCCGGGAAGACCGTTAGGAGCATTGAAAAGGGTCCAATGCGAATATTTATTATAGTGTATTTCCTGCATCCACCGGGGATGCAATGTACAATGTCCCCAGTCGCTCTCGCAGTTCACGTTCACGCAGCTCTCCTCGGCGATGATCATGCTCGATAGCCTCTGCCAATCAGATGGCAGCAAAACTCTGAGCATATATGTTGAGTACAAAATAATTTAAGGGTCCAACTTTAAGGGCTTCAAAAGATTACGACCCATCCACCAATACCACTTCCATCTTTTGCTAAACAACGAAAGTCGGTTCCTGCGCTGACCGTTCGCAACAAGCCGAACACGATAATTAAACCGCTAAGCAGAGATTTGATACAATTCTGAGTATTAGCTCATGAACCCTGAGATGATACGTACTTGCGTACGTATCGCATGTCAGACGATATATTGCGTATACGTGCACCGTAAATTAGTGCGCAAGTCCATCGTGTATTTGCACATGGCGCGCCTAGTAAGTATAGTTTCAACAATGGGTTTGACGGCAATGCTATGCTACTTTAATGGCTCATCTCATTGATGAAAGCTTACATTCCATATAATAATCAAGAGTTGTCGCTAGATGGTGAGCTGTTCAGTTTCGGCAAAGATACTGTTAAACACGCCTGATTGGGTAGCATCAAAGGGTCTATTGTACCTAGAGAATATGGTTTGGAATATGGGTTTTTATACCGGTTATTTTTGTTCGCTAGGATCTCAATAGAGATATACCTTCCTAAACCAGCTGCGACCGTTCTTTTCTTTTAGTTAAGCTCTGCACAGACCAGTCGTTCTATGCTTTTTTCCTCTTTTGTCACGCAAATCAAATGGAGTCGGCAGGAATAATCACGTTTTTACTGCCCCATCATGTTTACAGTTTTTATAAATGCTAGAATGTCCCCACTTCAAACCAATAGATTTGCTCTACATACTTCAACAGTAATTGTAATTATAATAACATCATCTTATTTTAAGGTATATCCATATGTAGCATTATGCTAATTTTAGATCTAATAATAGCTCAATTTCTAGTGCTATGACTTTAAGGGGCGTCCTTCCACCTCACCTTTTTACGCAACCCCTGTCATAACTGTTATGATGATGATACTGCTAATGATAGTAGCCTTGTGACTCATCTCCATCTGTCTGTTGGAGACGTTCGCGACTATCACAAATGTTCAATGGATTAATATAGATTTAGCAACTGTGTGTACTTTAGATAAACGTGAATTTCTTTTGCAGTGCTAGGCTCAGTAGCAAAGGGTGATAATGCAGTTTTGCGTCCGATCACACCGCGCAAGCGTTCTAGCAGTCGCAAAAGAACAAAGTTTACGTGTCGTCTGCACATGTCGGCGACTCCACTCGTTTACCCCATTGGCACAGTCCCCTGCCACAGCGCCATCTAAGTCCCTCAAATTGTGTTGCCTTTTTCCTGACTTGACGTGCCCGTTGTCTTTGAATTGGGATAAACACCGACCGCTCGTAAATAGCTCAGCAATATACATATATATATATATATATGACATATATATATATATATATATATGTCTGTGATTAGTGGCTTAGTTGTGCTTATGCCAGGTACATTTAACGAATTCATTTCTGTTAATATTTTCCTCGTAAGGCTGTCATCGTTACTTCCAGCAACAGCAAGCAGGCGCCTAAAGACCCGCTGTCGGAATATCGATATCTATAATTTGTGAACGAGTGATCATATTTAGCAGTAACAGCCAGCACGATTTATTTATTATAGCCAGTTGCTTCGGACAAGAAGTTCAACAAAAATTTAGCTCTTCTTTCTAACGAATAGGTGATAGCGGCAAAGACCCTGGTGATGATAGCCGGAATTGTTGTTAGGAGATTTTTAGCTGATTACCCACCTCTTGGCTAAATAGAAAAAGCTTTATTGCTGCGACAAAACGCTGGCAAATCTCTGTAATGAAGGCCCGTGCTTGATAACTAGGGTGACGCCGGATCGAGCACTGAAATGAAAACCTCACGAGAATACAAATCAACGACTATCTGAGCTGAGGTGTTCTCGCTCAGTAATTTCGTTATTATGTGCATCTACGCAGAACAAACCGTGGTCACTATTGCGGCACCGTATTGACAATTGGCATTAAAGGGTAAAGAGCGAACGACAAAATAGGCTTAAATAACTGTAACTAATAAAATAACCTTGCCTTTAATCGCATCAGTTTTTGCCTAACTTTTATTAGTTCTCATTTACTATTAACGAGAGGCGAACGAAAAAAAATGAGGAACGGACACATTCGACACCAGCTTTTTGGTTGGTATCAAACAAAGACAATACGAGGTGTTCAAGCTTGCTACTTTTTCATGCATCGGCCACCACACACGAAGGATGGTGAGTACTTCCAATGAGGTTTCTTTCAGTTTGGTAACAAAAGAAAAAAAAAAAGCAATTGATTTGATCTACCTCACCGTGCATTAATCGTCTGGCTGCGTTGAAGGGGGAAATATTTTTTTATAGATAACATCATACACAACTAGAACGTAGCAAATACGCAATCGCAACAGCCATAATTGCGTTGTTTCTTCATAGTTCGTTGGTAAAGTGGTTTCATATCCTCGTTTGGTACGAACAGGAACTTTGTAAGTGTATTTTTTTATAGGTCCGCACAATGCTACCACAGCAATAGATATGCCAATATGGTGGCTAGCTATAACTTACCTATAGAAAATACATAAGAATGTAAAGAGATATTATATGCACAATTTTTTTTTTCTTTGTAGAAAATACTATAGATATTTAATGTATTATGGCGGCGCGTTGCTATCAGCAAATTGGTACGCTCTATAGAATCGAAGCGGGAACAAATGTATGATGTGACATTGCATCAATAGGGGAGACAATATTGTTCTGCCGGACAGTTGGACAACTTCTTTAGCTTACAGATATTCAGCCTTGTCTCACATACGGCTGTACCGCTAGCAGCCCCAATATACCGAGGAAAAGCATAGCATCATCAACAGCCATTTGTGCCCGCTGGCTGAAAGTCTGAATTGTTTCGCAAGTACTTTGCATCTGCGACCGTTCTGTTCTTGCTGTAGCCAAAGCCTGTCACAGCAGGGGCAAGTGAGTCAGTTCTGGAAAACCCACGGGATTTTAGCCTGGATAAAGTTGAAAAGTGATTTATTGCAAGGGCATCAGACAGAGATCAAAAGGAGTAAGTTATCGAACGTATTAGCCAAGGACACATAGTTACATGTCTATTTCCATAGCGACTGATATTACTGTTTTTATTATAAACAGAAACTGTGTAGATAAATAAAGCGGCAGTTTAAGTTAGTCGTTGTGTGTCAGCTATTCAGATCTTCTTCTTAGCGTTACTAAAAACGCATACAAATGCCGGTTTCATCGATGAATTTGGCAAGCGTTTAGTTTTACATGTATATACATCTATTTATACGTTCGTATATAATGCGGATATTTAAGAAACCGTGTTAATAAAAGGACGACACTGGTACAAGATATGCATGGCAGGCGCGTAGTGTTTAGCGGGTTCATTCGACGGCTTTTTACGTGAACATGGGGGCTTAGTCTGAACACGAACTTTTTTACTTGTAATCCAAATGACGAGAGCTGAGATAAATTGTTATTTACATTAATAGAAGTACTTGGTTCTGGCGGACTCTAGATCAAAAGAAACGATCTTTGAATATTATTTACATTCTATCAGGGTCAAATAAATTCCAGTTTGCGATATACATATGTATGTATATATATATAGGTGTGTAATTTTTATTTTCAGTGTTCCAAGGTACTTTAACGGACTCATAAGCTGTTTTTGCCTATACAGGCCATCTTCTCCTGTCTCCTGTTTTTGTTCTAATGCAGCTTAGTTGTTGATACAGACGTATCTACACAACGCAAAATCGCGCCTCAGACTCTTAACGTCGCCATCATGACTGCCGGAAAGGCGCCCAAAGACTGATTCGGTTGTGTTAGCAGTACCTCTCTATCGTCTATCGAGATGTGGCATATACTCAACGTAACACCAACACTGATTCGGAGAGAAAAAGACCCTGCGAATTTTAAAAGCTGACGTATAGTTTACATGCGCTTGTCCTCATGCTGACAGCCCCTGTGCCAGTATTCAATTAGTGTAAATAAAGAAGTCGTTATCTATTTGTACAAAACTGTCGTATACGTTTCACACGTTAGCGCTAGTAAGTTAGTACCCTATTACTCTTTTATGGATCTGTGTATCGTGTGATCATTCATCGTATGAACGAATTGGTGCGCACTGCCCACTCCAAGGAAGCCGTGGACGAATATAGATGCTTCAGATCAAATACTGCATGCCAACGCTTTCTTCGAAATCGACTCTGACCAAAGGGCTTTATTTGTAAACTTCGTTCAGTCACATTAGATGTTTTTTATGCCGAATCTATCTGACAGCTTCCTTCGGAATAAAGGCAGGGCTAATCAGAATTTATTCATGGAAACCCTTCCTAAATTAATAGCAAACTTCTAATCATTACTTTGTTTCGATGACTTTTCGATGCATGAGCTTCTGCAACCCGCAATCGTCAAATAGTTCTGTTTTCATATGTTTCTTGTGTATAATAATGAGAATAACGGTAACGATGCATTTAAGAATCAGAATTTCTACGAATACTCTCTGTAATATAATTGTAGACATTATAGAATAACGAGTCTGTAACACAGCTGGAGCCGATGAGCACAATGAATTGTTGTCGTTTCGCGGCTCCTGACTCACTCAGAAACTCGTACGTGAAACGTCTCTATGATTTGCAAGGTCCATTCAATTACACGTACCCATTTCATATAAAATTGATGAAACTTTCTCTTTTTCTACCTGTAGGGTTTTTGCCTACTGAAACAGACCACCACAATAATGTTAGAGAATGTCGTTAGAGAACACTTACCATGCCAATGCGCTTCTTTGTTTCGTGTGTCTTTTCGTCCCGCATCGGATTATCAAAGGCGTTTAAGCCGATCTTGAAGCCATCGAATCCGTCGGCACTTCCGTTAATCTCCAGCTCGGGTGCTCGAGCATAGGCCTTAGCCACTCGCCGATTACGCTCCATGCAGATGATTTTTGCCCAGATCTCATCATCGATCTGTTCCCATTTGTGCAGCACTTCCTGGATGTGGTCCTGTAGAACGGAGCAATCGTTCACAAGGTCAATTGTATTATAAATCGAATATTAGTACGCTAGGCGTGCTTTAGGGACATTTCAACATTTTCACAAAATTATAATAATTTCGCTGCAAAGAGGTAATGTCGAAATCATCCATACCATGCATACAAATAGCGCCTGATCTCAAAGCTAAAAGTCATAGACCAACTGACAGCTAGTAACAATTTCAACAACAAAAACGTTAGTTGAGGATACTTCACCTAATCTTTTAAGCCAAAGGTAGTTTTACCGGCGGATAAATTCAAAGATGAGTAAGAGGAAGGGCCCCCGGTGGCACTATTTCAGCGCAGAAACCCAAGACATCTAGCCGAACGCCAACAAAAAGGTTAGCTCTTTTCCGAGCCTCTTGAAGAGTTTGACTTCCAAAACCTCTCACCCGCCACTATCGATCCAGCGAATAAAACGCTATGCTTATTACTTCCATGCAATTGAAAAGACTGGCATAATTCCGAAAGTTCCTGTGCTTCCTTCTTCACCTGCTATAATTCGTTTTTGTGGTAAGCTTGCGTTCAGATATGAATAATATATCTGGCATGCTCGCAGATTATCAAGCTTGTGCGGCTAGCTCAACAAATTAACGGTGAAACATTCAGTACTATTATGAACGATTTTTGAGGTATTCAGAAAAACGATGGATGGAATAACTTATATATATATATATATATGTGTATATATAAGTGCTTGTATGTATTCCTTAGATTGGTACCTTTTGACCTATCGACCTAGCTAGAATATAAGCCGTGTAAACTACCTCATAGCTAGAAATGAGGACGAAAGTGCGTATAGTCAGATGGACACAGGTGTACAGTACCGTCTTATTCAGCATTAGCTTCGCTAGACGCCTACGGCATTCAATGATGAAGTACATACACCGAGAAAGACAACCTCCTCCAGTATCGTCTGCCACATCTGCTTACCACATTGCAACCTTAGAAGACAAAAATCGGAAGTACGCAGCCAGGCCGTTACCAAACGCTGCGTTACTCTCGAAGACGGAAGTCCACTTCGTACACAATGCTAGTATGAAGGCTATTTCAGTAAACTCTGCGTATTTATGGCTGAACAGCATTGCGTAATCGATGCACAGCAGGTCCTTAGAAGCGGTTTTGTCGCAGTGATAGGTGGGAGATGTACGTAGTCGTTATAGGAGAAAAGCCCCACGTTCTGCCATTCTGGCTCAAGAGACGGCGACCAGTCGCCGATTCCGGTCAAGCTATAACGGCCAGTCGTTTGACCGGTGTCAGCCCTACAAGTTTTACGCTGTTCGGTGTTCGCGTCTATTTTGCTTTTTCTCCCTTTAATAGTGGCCGCAGCGGTAGTGGTTGAAGTGGCAACCTCATTTCTGACAGGGGTTCTGTAGCTGTCCGGTATGAGACTGCATGTCTCCGCTTTCTGATGGTTTAGGTCATAGTTTCGACCATAGCCATCCGGTCCGGCCAACCGTATCCTACGGCCAGTGAGCCAGCCTGGAGACGAACTTATGTTTAGAGGCGCCAGAGGTTAGAACTTGGTTTTATATTGTGGTAATGACAAACGTTACCCTATATTTAATGGCGTCTGAGCAAGGGCCCATTTTTACCAGTGGCCGAAGTAGAGATACGACAGACAGAACGGCGCACACAAGAGCTACTTCAGAAAAAGCCACTGCGTATTCAAACACATTAATGTGGTAGACATATACGATATAAGCGTTGACAACTAACTGTGGCGCGCCAGCCATGTCAGTGGCACAATGAGTAAGGGCGAGTCTGGCTCCGATGCTTAAATCGTGGTTCGCCTTCTCTCTCGTCGCGTGAGATGCCCGCTCATCCAGCCAGCCAACCATGGAGACGGACTTCGGGCCGTTTTCTGTGAAGCTATCTATTCCATATATTCAGCCTTATTATTCTTTTCGGGCATAACTGTGCTAGCGTACTGCTAAATACAGCGAAGGGTAGTGGCAGTAATATTTCGTGCAAGCCACGACCAGGATAAACTGACTATTACTATTATTATTACAGCTCAAATGACTCATAGCTAGTCAGTCGGCGAGTGTTAACCAGGGTCAGAGATTCGTCCAACACGCTCTGACACTCTAGCAATTTTCAATGTCATTTGATTATAAGAATGAACATTAACACACCATTGACTCAATTAAGTTAAGCATATGCACGTTCTATAGATGGTAGGGCCGCAAGACTGAGACCGGCACGTTAAAGCGTCGAGCCTTCAAGCGTCTTCCTGTGCCATTTAGTTTATTAAACAAGTTGACGCGTATAGCGGTTTGAACACTTTCTCGTATTTTTATCCCACATTAGTTATATTGTGCATCTTCAATCAGTTTGTGGGTTCCGTCGACGAACGATTCGTTCGAAATAGAAACGCCAGCTGCAGCAGATGTGACAGCTGCTACATCGGTCTGATGTCCTTCAGAATCATGTACAAGTAACAGCCGGGCAGATGAACAGCCGGCAGCTGAACATAGCATCATAGAGAAACTATCCAGATAGCAAAAGAAGTGAGTTTGTTGTTGTAGTATCCGTAAGCAACGTAAGTGTCAACTGAATCCATTCGCCCTAATGGCTAGAAGCCAGATGCCCCACTGCGCCAGGCAACACCCGACGGAATTGCCATTGACCACTGCTACTATCGCGACCACTGTGGGCCGACCAGCCACGGTTAGCATCTGTACTTTGACAGCGATAAACTAATGATAATGGTTGAAATGCACATTCAAGAGTAACTACATATAAATACGAACGTACATACACACATCGTGCATGGAAGCTCTACGGGTCAACCCCGTACATGGTTGTACGCAGTTCGTATGGATGCGCATATTGATCTGGTAGAGAAATCTGATGAGCGCTATGATCAACCATAGTAAAATTGCTGATAAAGATTTGGTAACATTGGTAGATTAATGCGGCAGCGAGGAGCGACACGCCCGTATGTCTTTTTACCTAGAAATATATTGTTATGCAGTCATTTCTAGGATGACTTCTTTTGATTGCTCCGATTTTTTAACGGTGATAACCCTTTGCGGCTGTTTACGGCTCGCCCGTCTGCAGGCCACAAATGACGGTAGCTCTTCCGGGAAATATGGTCCTGTTTTTATGGCTGAACACGACGATGATTTGGGAACGTTGGAGAAAAAAGTTGACGACATTACTATACGCACTTCAATATACTCATACAAGCATGTAGAATCGTAAGGGGCCAGGTATTCACTACTTACACATCTAACTTAACTTAGTTGCCATTTAAGTTTTCCAAATTAGTATCCAAATGAATGCGGGAAATATAGATATATATATATATAAACATTGCGAAAGAAAGAAACATTACTATATAATTAGAACGATCATTTTAATGTCGAATTTTTAAAACTAGTTATCTAGCTATTAATGTATATTACTATACTGTGGCTAGAGTAACAACACCGGTAGGCTTTTACGAGATTTTTATGGGAAATTTTCCCATTCTTCTTGATGATTATCAAGTTATTATGTAGTTGAATAGAAATACCAAAACCTCGTTTGAAGATAGTCTGATACGACAGAAGCTATCTGATCAGAGGCCATTGTTGTATTGACAGTTTCATTGGCTTACTCTCTTATCTAATACAATATAGCTCAGTTTGCGGGGCATAATGCACTTTTCAGCTGCAAAACAAGAGTCGACATTTTCACAATTGCTTTACCAGGGAGCTATTTAGCTGACAAATGTATGTAGAAAAATAGCAGTTTACAAAAGAATAACTTTTTTTTTTAATAGAGAAAGAACTTCGTTTGTTAGTAGTTTCCGGCCAGATTACCGACCCAACAACGAAGTGGTGCTGTCGTCTTCACACGCTACAGCCTGTCATATGAGTGATAAGAACACGTTAGTTAATCTCGAAGTGGCTTCGTTCCCAGACAGAGTTGTCTGTGCTCAGATACCAACCAGTTGCGTCGTGATTTACCTTTTTTCCTCCGTCTACCATTAACTATATAGACTTTTACTTTCTGTCCGTTCTATGTAGAAGACTCAAGGCCAAAGTGAGTTTCGTTTTGGCTTTTGGTGGAGGAATCATTTTCCAGTCACTGACGGCTCTGTCCAAATATCGACTGTTCATTTTAGGTGCATCGCGGTGAAGATCTTTGATCACCCCGACCATCCTGACAGCAGGACTCTCCCTAACTATGCAAGCATATATATATATATCTATCCGTCCTCTGTTCCGTACCTGATGAATAAACATAGGCACATCCATCTCGCCCCTTCCTCTCTTAGTATTTGTACATTTGCCTGTTCTCCCCTTCTGTTTCAACAAAATAAGTCTGTTTCTATATGTACCCGTTTATTGTACGGTTATTATTATTGTTGGGCAAAGTCCATTGTGTCGGTGCTTCACGATTATCATATTTCTATCTGTGTATATATATGTGTATAATTTTACTATTCATAGCTATTACCGTTGTTGTTACTGTTACCGCCTCGTTACTGAACGTAACGTTTACTGCACTACATGTAATCATGTATGGCATCATCTCTGTCACGTAGGCGCCCAGATGCAATCTGAGCTCATTACTGAGTTACATCACGATATCGACGTACGAATGAACACGGGTCTTTGTTGTTGGACTCGTAGCTATCCTTACCATCGACTGCAAGCGGAATTCGACCACTGTGCACGCATAAATCGAGTCGATATATATAAATATAATATAAATATAACATAAATATAATATATTTGGATGGTTAGCTGCTGGCAGGACTTCCTGAGGACTACGATTCTTATGGCGTGTCATTGAGGGCTACAACTACGGGGATAACGGACATCGAACCTCGACAAGATGTCGGCAGACGGGGTGGCCTTGGCTACGCATGCTTCATTCTGCTCTGCACGTGGGCTTCAGCATACTATTATATATTAATTGTTTCACTACTAAGTCCCTAAATACGAAAGGAGTCCTTCACCCTTCCTATACTTC